TGAAGGGCCTTCGCTTTCTCCATGACAAGTGAAGAGCAAGCTGCAGATTTCTTAAATCTTTCCTTTATCATTCGCCTTAATTTGATCGTTTCCTGTGTTACATATAACAAAACTTAAGTCTCCAAATTCAATCTCACTGCTTCTATTGTTAGTTCTTATGAAATTCATTGAAGTATCACGTACTAACCTTCTGGAGTGTGTCACATAGTCCAGAAGAGTTACCTGCACAAATTAAAGGAATATATATAATGAAAACTATTTATTAATGGCGGCCTTCCTCTTGTATCACTAATGACAACAAACCATCGGACTGGAAACAAATTATTTTAATTTTAACATATATAATTCCTCAGAAATTCCATGATCTGTCTCAGAAAATGTATGTGAAACCAATCTGTTTCTTATTAAGGTCTGCATTATATTCAGATCAGAACACACTAACCAGAGAGGGAGAAGCAGAGGGCGATAGATCTTTGTTTTTTAACAAGTAGGACAGGCAGGGCGGAGCCAGAAAATTTATGTAATGAGAGCCAGGATCTTAGAAACAATTTACAATACCAATTAACAACAGTACCGGTCATACATGATATCATTATATATACCATGCATAATTATACTATAACAAGCCATCATGTTGCTTATCATGCTGTGATCAACACTGTAATAACAACACACTATTTCTCAATAACCCAAACTCTAACATAAGAAGTCCTAGCTCCAAGATGTTGTTAGTGGGAGGTGAGTCGAATCTCCTGCCATAAAAGTTGTGACTTTAGATCAATTGATTTATCACTTAAGCTAATCCCGTAAGATCAGAGGGTAATATATCTTAGTTGGGGGCATTCAGCACTTGGAAGAAAGAGTTCTGAGAGGGATCAATAAGATCAGTGTTGCCTGGTGGGACAACAACTTCAATTGGAGCAACCAGACCAAAACGAGCAGGAGCACCAAACTGATAACATTAACAGGGAATAATATAATTTTCAAAATAACCATAAGAAAGCTTCAGTATATATAGAAATAACAAGGTAACTGAGCCTAGCAGTTCGCCACCTGAAATTTGGTCTCCATATTTCAATTTAAACAAATTTAATCTTTCAATTACCCAAATTAAATGATGTTATTTAATTCAGTATTTTATGGTATAATACTTTTACACTCAGTAGATTAACAATAATTTGGATAATTTGGGCACCAAATCGATTCCATTAGGTTTCATGTAAAGAGTATCAAGACATGCCCAGATGAGATTTTGGACCATTACGGTCCAAAGGTCATCATGATTAGTCCAAATGCTTAAGAAGGTTAAAATATGACTCAATTACATTTTTAAAACTAATTTAAGAGATTATTTAAAACTTGTTCACTTCAGAAACTTAATTGCACTACTTACTACTCAGTAAACTTTAGGAACTAATTTGAGACTTTTCCAAACCTAATAAAAGATTCTCTTCTTAAATATATGTCTTCGGAAAACAAATCATGCATACCCCCACCACAAACAAAAAGAACAAAAAAAAAAAAAAAAAAAAAAAACTCTTATGAAAAACACACAAATAATCAACATTTCTAAATTATTAAGCTTAATTGAATTCTTGCTATATAAAATCTCCATAAATTTTAGACATATCAAGTAGTTGAAAAGAGAAGAAAATAGTGGTATCTTTCAAAATTATCCCACTATTCATTTTTTTTTTTTTTAAATGAAGGCATCAAATTCTTTTCTTCTTCTCCCAAATCAAAGTCTTTTCTTATATACACACAAACACATATTTTATGCATGTAAGGATCATTTATCACTACGTCAAAAAATGTGTATAAATCTAGTTGTCAGGATCAAACACTTACCAGTTACCACTATACCATAAGTTATAGTTTGTAGTGAAAGTACAACTTTATTTCTTTATATTTGTGTAGCAATCAACGCTATGTTTTCATTGACAGGATACTGGACTCAATCCTCCAATAAGCCTCTGATCAACATTTTAAAAAATAAAAAATGAAATCAATTAAATTAAAAAATTTAGGGCCAATATGCAAATAAAAAATTATAATTGTCTAGTGATTTTGGTACTAAAATAAGCATTTAATATATCTGCATATTAGCAGTGGCTACTATAAGTGTTTGGAGAATTTGTTTTTTTTTTTTTTTTTTTTTAACATTAACTTAAAAAAAAATAAAATTGTAGACAATTGTGAGACGAACACTGTCATCAATATAAATAAGAAAATGCTAATTACCCCTTATTTTATCACTCACAAATCAACTGCTTCATGATGTGGTAAAATTCTAAGCATTAGTCTTTCTTTTTAAAAATTTAATTTTAACTTTACTGATGTCTAGGGTTTTGCCATGAGTGATTAGTTGTGAGTGGAAAAATTAGGACTGTGTAGCTAGGCATGGTCCAAATAATTTATAGTTTATATCTTAAAAATACTTTTTAATATTCTTGGTTTGAGCAGGGTCAACTATATGGACAACTTAGACTAATTTATCTGTTTGTGGTTTTTTATCGACTATGATCACGAAGTGGGATTTACGAAGTACATATCATCGAGTAGTGACTGCAAGCTTCCCTCATCAGTCAAAATACTCTTTAATATTAAATTAAGTGTGTTAATTAACCTCAATCAATTCTCAACTGCCTAAGCCAATATTGATTTGCACAGTGGAAAATTCAAAGTAGTTCTTCCGTCTGCATTTATACAGTGATGACAGGCACGTACCTACCATATTCCATAGGAAAATACTTGGATCCCTAGAGACCCAACGTAGTACCTAACAACCTAAGACGATCCCATCTCCCTTAAAACACTTTGGTCATTTGCATTCAACAAATGCATAGGGCCACGAATTGGTGCTATTTCGTGAGAATCTCACACCCAGATATCCTGACAGACTCGAAATTGGATTCCAAACATTTTTTAATTGGAAATTTATATTGGCCTTGTTTGGTAAAACAGTTAGCCTATAGGTCAATTTTAGCTTATTTGATCACTATTAGTTGTTTTACTTAGTTTAAAAATCAATATAAGTATTTGGTTAATTAGTTTTTTGTACTCCAAAATGCTAAAATTCAAAAAGCTACTAAAAACAACTTTTTCAATTAGCTTTTAGAAAAAAGAAATTATACCAAACAAGTATCAACTAACAGCTAATTTACTAAACACATTTCTACAATCAGCTAATGTTATCAACTAGTTATACTCTATAATTAACCCAAGCAGCTAACAGCTAACAATCATTTACCAACCAGGGTCTTTTTTTTTTTCTTTTTTTTTGTCATTCAAAGCTTACATGATATATGCCAATTACTATATAATGTGATGACACATGTTCCCATTCCAAATGAGTGATCACAGGAGTATAAAATAGAAGTGGTCATAGGAGTATAAAACAGATATTACTTTGTAAAAATCACAAGTCTTTAAAAATTATTATTATTATAGTTAAAATAACAATAGTACTAATTATTATCATTATTATTATTGTGAAAATGATAATTGAGAGGGTAGAGCACAATTTATTAACTTATGTACACCATTAAATAGTGGATATAGAATCAAGGACTTTGTACTTTTGTAGTTCAATGTTACCATGTTGTTCCCCTATATGAGAGGTGATAGGTTCAAGGCTTAGTGGAGATATTTAATGTAATAATTGGGTATTCTCCTTCCCATAAATTAAAAAAAAAAAAAAAAAAAAAGTGGATACAGATTTCTTCAGTCACTCAAAATAATTATTTTGTGCAAACAAGTATCGAATGTGGACGTACAAATTAGCATTTATTTCCTCCTATACAAATTCATTAATATATTACTCCTTTAAAATGAAAATATAATGCATTATAAATTTCAACTACAAATTTACACGTTTTCTCACAGCTTCTATTTTAAAAATGGATAGATGAGGTAAATCATGAGATGTATTTCACTTTTTCTACAAGTCCTTAAATGTTTGTACACACTACATGTCGTTTGGTTGGGATGAGGGAATTATAGAAGAAAAAATTATATATAATTTGGTGGAAAATGAATAAAGTTAGAATTTAAATTACATTATGTAGTAGACATGAATATAATAATTGCAAATTGAAAGAAAAGAAGTGAATAAAAACTAAAATGCCATTGTATAATAATACTATAATAAAAGAAAAGTGATAAAATAGTCATTTATCATGAAATTACAATTCTCCAAAGTGTGAAATTGCACTTCCTAGGATCCCCTAGAAATTGCAATTCCCTCTAACCAAACCATGAAATTTTACAATTCCATGAAATTTGGTAGGAATGAAATTATAATTCGATCCAACCAATAATGTCAAATTCATATACCTTTCTTTTTTGGTTGTTGGTAAAATTTGACAAAAAGCAAAGTAAGAATTTTACTATTATTAAATTTTCAAGTTTGTAATAATTATAAAATATACCTTGTTCTTTAAAGTTTTCAATAATTATAAAACAGACAATTTTTTTAAACTAAAACTTTCAACTATTAATGAAATGGAAGACATATATATAGATATATACTAGTTCAATAGTGCTTCCCGTGTAATCAGTGCGGATTCAACATTAGCTATTCATAAATGCACCACAATGAAATGCACCAATAATGCACCATAGACCAAAAAATGCACCACACTTAATGAAACATTTCCAAACACTTTGTGGTGCATTTATATGTAGTTAATAGTAGGGTTGGGGTTCAGCCTTTTGGAAGGATGCGTAGTTAATACTGAGTGACCGCATGGCCATATGAGAAGCAATGTCCGCGAGAGAAACTGACTATATATATATATTTACTTATTTATTTATTTAATTATTAAATTATTTATAACTTTAAAAGTAGACCAAAAGAGAAATAATAATGGAGAGGGTAAAGGCTTAGGAAGAGTGGAATACCATAAATGGAAAGTAATACCAAATGCGTGAAAGGTGATGCAGAAGTTGATAAAGTTGAAAGAATCAACTTCTCTATCAGTCCAACTTCTCCTCCATTGGTTATGACTTATGAGTCACCCGTCTTCAATTCTACCACCACATACAGAGCAGGAGCAGCGCAGCAGTTCTAGAGAGAGAGAGAGAGAGAAATTAAAGTTAGCAATCAAGAATGGCTCGAGGGAAGATTCAGATCAAGAGGATAGAAAACCAAACAAACAGGCAAGTCACCTACTCCAAGAGAAGGAATGGGCTGTTCAAGAAGGCTCATGAGCTTACTGTCCTCTGTGATGCTAAGGTTTCCATCGTCATGATCTCCACTTCTGGCAAGCTCCATGAATACATCAGCCCCTCTACCACGTATATACCATCTCTCTCTCTCTCTACACTTTTGTTGTTGTATATATATAAAGATTCATCTTTCTTTTCATGGTGTATATATATGCAGTACAAAGCAGTTGTTCGATCAGTACCAGAAGACTGTCGGGGTTGATCTATGGAGCTCCCACTTTGAAGTTAGTTTTAATTTCCTTCCATATCAATTTCTTTAACTTTTTTACACCAAATATATGAATTCTTGTGACTTTTCTTTTTCTAAAAAAATTGTAGAAAATGCAAGAGCAGCTCAAGAAACTGAGAGATGTTAACAGGGCTCTTCGAAGGGAGATCAGGTATATATATATAGGGGTTTCCTATGCTTTAATTTCTAGTTTTAGTACACATTATTATCACATATATATATTTTTTATATCACAATTTTTTTAAGGATTCGGCCTGAAATAATTATTTAATTTTATAAATTTATTTTTGGATCGTCAAAATGATTGTATAGACAAAGGATGGGTGAGAGTCTGAACGATCTGAGCTTTGAACAATTGACTGAGCTCATAGAAGATGTTGACAATTCTATCAAGCTTATTCGTGAAAGAAAGGTTAAGCTCCATCCATACACATATATAATCTAGGGTTTTCACTCAGTATACTCTTATCAATTTTATTTTTTCATTTTCTATCTTCTTGAAATTTTTGGCCAATTAATTGTAATTCATAATTAAATTCCTTTTCTGTTTATAAATTGTGTAGATCTAAGAGGTACATATCACAAATATAAATATAAATAAATATAAAAATAAATAAATAAATACTTATAATAACCTTGTGGTCTAATGATGTGATGTGGCTCTCCCATATAAGAAGTCATGGTTCGAGTCTTTGAACTTCGGTAGGAACAAATTAATACTGCAGTGTAACAGATTCAGTGGTACTTAAAAAATAAATATATGCAATATATTATATTATTTTGAATTTGTTTTGTTTTGGGCTAATTTGTATGATATTTGCTTCATGAGTTTGTTGTGATCTTAAGTTTAATGTAAATTATTTTTTTCTCATTTTTGTTTTGTTGTATTAAAAAAAAAAAAAGCAGTATAAGGTGATTGGCAATCAGATTGAGACTCACAAGAAGAAGGTATGACCAAGTACTTTAATCTCTAATAACATTTATTTTATTTTGCAATAATTGATTTTTGATTTGCTGATCATATATATTTGTAGGTGAGGAATGTGGAAGAAATCCACAGAAATCTGCTACTGGAATGTGTAAGTCATTGCTTATTCATTCTTCATCAGTACTATATAAAGGGCACTAACCTTCAAACTTAAATGCTCCTTAATTAATACCTTAACTATGATTTTTTCTATTTGAATTTCTATGTCAATTTCCATTAATCTTTATTCTTGTTCTTGTCATGCATTTATTGAATGAGAATGGTTTGGCAATTAACAGGAGGCAAGGCAAGAAGATCCATATGGCTTGGTTGATCATGAAGGGGATTATAATTCTGTTCTTGGATTTGCAAATGGAGGCCACCGCATATTAGCTTTGCGCTTGCAACCAGATCATCACCACCACCATCATCACGGTCACCTTCACAGTGGAGGGGGATCTGATCTCACTACATTTACTTTATTGGAGTAGTATGTACTTAATATTTCTGATCAGTTTAACATTTTACATGTTAAACTGTAGTAATTTTTCTAATGTATGAACCACTACTCAAACTAACAATAAGGTTTGGTTTGCCTAGAATCGGATTGATGTGGTCCGATATGTGTTGTATAAATCAAAACAAAAAAAAATCCTTGAACTACTTTGACATTTAGAAATGGATTATGCATGCTCAATTCCAAACTTTTGGCTACGTTCATTGTTAGTCAAAGTTTATTATGTAGAGGAAAATGAATCTTAAAAAATTATTATTCAAACACACAGAAGTAGACATAGTAAGTAATGTGAGTAATAAGGTAAATGTACGCACAGAAAAATGAGAGTCAGAAATTTATAGTAGTTCAAGAATGGTATGTATAATTCCTCTATTTCATTCTTCTCCTTCTACTAAGAGAAAATTCACAAGTGAACACAAACTAGTGTGTTGACCAGTGACCACAAAGTCAGCACTAATTAGTTTATAGGATTTCACAAAGCTTTACCAAGCTTATTACTACTTAGCCTCTATCTACACCATGTGTAGAGTTCTACTACAACATATCAACCCAAGTTTGCTTTATAGAAGTTCGAATGCTAGATATTCTCTTATGTATCTTATGCTTTCTTTTTTCAACATTCTTTATATATATATTTATAGCTTGATTTCAAATTTATATGTAGGAGGGAAATAAATTTGAATCACCAACTTGCAAATAAAATATTTTTTCATTCTTCCAAAAGGTTGAACCCCAATCCTAAGGGCCCCCCACACTCCGACCCGACAAAGCATTTGGGAAGATGTAAATCATGGTAACTCAACTGAACATGAACCACAGAGGCTAGACCTTTGCTCACTACGCACAAGGAACCCCCCTCACTTTGAGAGGTAGCTCCCACACTGCCGCTGGTGAGACTCGATCCCTGGTCATTCTTCCAAAATATTTTTTCATGATTTGACAAGTGTATGTAAACTTTTGTCCAATTGTTTTGTGTGTATTAGGACTCTATGTATTTGAGTTTGATTATAATTCTCTATGAGACTTCCTTCCTCTATATATATATATATATATATATATATATATATATATATATATATATATATATATATATATATATATATATATCTGTATTCTGTACATAGTTGTTATTCATTCAATAATATACAACTCTATCATTTCTCATCTGGTGTGATCTAAGCTAGGGTTTCTTTCCAATGGCTGACGGATCAGTAAATCAGTTAATTCCTTTGAACGGACCGTCTCTAATATTCCTCTTTCTTCCACTACATCGGCGGTTAATCCTTATCCACCGCTCACCACTTCATCAGCATTAGCATTAAATTGACCTACAAGAACTACCTATTTTGGAGAGCTTAGGTTGTTCCGTTTATTGATAGTCATGATCTTCTTGAATTTGTTGATGGAACAAATCCATGTCCACCGGCCACCCTCCCCGTTCACTCTCCCTGCCTCGTCGGCCGACCTATGACACTTGAAGAGCAAAACCTGTACGTTCTTCGAGAGTTACGGCCAAATTAAAGTTCAGAGGGCTTGCGTCGTCTCTCAATGTGTGTGCCCAGCCGGTCACACTCCAGGAGCTTGTGGATTTCTTGGGCGCGGAGGAATTTATGATGCACGGTGATCCCGAAGATAATTTGCCGACGGCTTTCACGGCACAAAGAGGCGGCCAAAAAGGCCGCGGCTCCGATCGAAACAATGAAGGCCATGACTGTCTTCTTCACGGAGACGGCCATGGCTGACGAAGGAAGACGGCCATGGCCATCTTTTAGATATGGAACGAGGGCTACGGCCTTCGCTGCCGCCTTCATTCCACACGGAGGGGACTGGAACGAGGGCGGCGGCGAAGGCCGTAACCCTCGTTCCAAATCTAGAAGACGGCCATAGCCGTCTTCCTTAGATGGTCGTGGCCACATGGCTCCTTCAATACATATCAATTACCTATGAATTAGATTCTTGAGCTATGAAAATTTTTAAGAAAAAATATAATTTTAGTATAACCCATCTCCCCACTCCCACCCCCCACACAAAGGATTCAAGTGAAAACATGTTCTCACCTAAAAAAAAGTGAGGATTAATCTAATTTCATCCATATGAATAGATTAATGGTTGACAATTACTGAAAAAATAAGAAAAAAAATTATGGGGTTACATTTTTTTTTTTATAATTAAATATATATTTATTTATATATTTTTATTTATTTATTTATATTTATTTATTTATTTATATTAGGATGAATTTCCTTGATTTTTTATTTTGTATTTTAAAAATATTTATTCTCATTATAGAGTTATACATAACCAAACATCAGTGTAATTATTCCAATTCCATCATACTACCAAACCTGCAAAATACTTTAACTAAAACTCTTATCATTACCAAGTATTTATTTTTCATTCTGATTCCAATTTCATGTGCGAACCAAACACACCCTAAGATTTATATTTTAAAAATTTCCAACAAAAATGATAGAATTGAATCCAAGTTATTGCTATCTATATATACATGATTAATTAGAACACACAATCTTATCTTCTTCCCAAATTGTGTGTGGGAAGAACATGTTGTGCGTAACAACAAAATAAATACCTGGAAGGTAGTTTGCGATGCGTTGTTGCTTTGGGACAGGAAACCGGCAGCGTTCTGTGTCGTGTTTGGCAACACTATCTTAAAGATATTTAACGACCAGGGTATCGTTATATCTCCGACAGATAACACAGACGGGAAGAAATCAGTCTAAAAGAACTCAGCACGGTGTTTCTCAAGTATGTCTGTAAAGCCGTGACTTTTTTTTGTGTAAATAAGAATATGAAATGCATTGCTATTTATAGCATTTCACATTCCATTACAGCCAAGCCACAAAGATAGCTCACACATGGTTTAGCCGTACGAGAAATGTGCTTACCACATAATTCATTAGGACATATGTTCACCACATAATCCATTTGGATAATTATGCTTAGTATATGAGTCATTACCACGTGGCTAAACCTTGCCTTTGGATGTTTTCCCAACAATCCCCCACACATCCGAAGGTGTAAGGCTTGTAGGAGAGCAATTGAGTGTAACAAATAAGAGCTAGCTTTCATGTCAGTGTGTTAAACTTGAACTGACAAGTAGTGGCACTAAGTAATCCACTATCCGAGAGTGAACAGAGTCTTGAACTCTTCAGCTAGTTGAATTTTGAACTTATGTGCACCTCGTTAGCTCCATTCGTTGTACACTCTGTATAGTTATTGAATAACCATGTATTAACCCTGTTTTGTCTGTCTCAGCACAGACATTCCACTCCACTGAGTGTACTTTACCGTAGACTGCCAATCGAGAACTACGGCAAGCAGACTGATTTACAGTCTGCTTATAAATGCGAGTCTTTCCATGACTTCGTTTGACCACCGAGGTGGTATCCATCATGAATTTCTCACCTCATTGGCTTTTAAGCCCATCTCCCTTGATGTATCAAGGATAGCCTTTCGATTTAGGCCTTTCGTGAAAGGATCAACTATATTCCTTTCAGATCTCACAAACTCCATTGTGATTACCCCATTCAATATTAACTGCCGTACAGACTCATGTCTGACTCAAATGTGTCTTCTCTTTCCATTGTAGACACTACTTTGTGCTACACAAATAGCAGTTTGAGAATCACAATGAATGGGCACGGCGGGAGCAGGACTCCCCCACAGTGGCACGTCTACCAATAGATTTCTTAGCCATTCGGCCTCTTGGCTAGCCAGATCTAAAACTATGAACTCTGCTTCCATAGTTGATCTGGCTATGCACGATTGTTTGGTTTATTTCCAAGACACTGCAGCTCCACATAGTGTGAACACATATCCACTTGTAGAGCTAACATCATCACTGTCGTTTACCCAGTTCGCATCACAGAACCCTTCTAGCACAGCTGGGTATCCTTTGAAGTTGAGACCCCAGTCTAACGTGCCTCTAAGATACCGGAGTATCCTTTTTAGTGCGTCCCAGTGTGGACCACTAGGGTTATGAGTGAAATGACTAAGTTTATTTACGGCAAATGCAATGTCGGGTCGGGTATAGTTCATTAAGAACATTAGACTCCCAATTACTTTTGCATATTTCTCTTGAAACACACCTGACTCCATGTTCTTTATTAGTTTGACACTAGGATCGTAAGGAGTCTTGGCCGGAACAACATCAAAACTGTCAAACTTCCTCAGAAGTTTTTCTGTGTAGTGACCTTGGGATAGAAGGTAACCTGTATTGGTTTTTGTGACTTTTATCCCGAGTATCACATTGGCTTCTCCTAGATCCTTCATTTCAATCTTTTGACATAGAGTTCGTTTGGTTTCATTTATAGCATCAATACTTGAGCTAAAAAGCAACATGTCATCCACATAGAGACATATTATTACAATGCTGGATTGGACCTCTTTTGAGTACAAACAGGCATTTTGACCGGTTAGTCGTGTAGCCTAGGTCCATTAAGGTCTTGTGAAATTTTTCATTCCACTGTTTGGGGGCCTGTTTTAGGCCATAAAGAGATCTTTTTAATTTACATACCTTTCCTTCTTGCCCTGGATCAACACAACCATGTGGTTGTTCCATGTAGATCTCTTCTTCTAATTCACCATTGAGGAATGCAGTTTTTACGTCCATTTGGTGAACTATCCAGTTGTGTAAAGAAGCCAATGCAAATAGAACTCAAATGGTTCCCACTTTTGTCACTGGTGAGTATGTGTAAAAATAATCCTCACCGAATCTCTGTGTAAAGCCTTTGGCTACTAGCCTGGCTTTGAACCTTTCAATAGACCCATCTGGTCTAAGTTTTCTTTTGAAGATCCATTTGCAGCCAATTGGCTTGCACCCTTTGGGTAGTTCTACCAACTCCCAGGTGTGGTTGGACTGAATAGAGTCCAATTCACTTTTTATTTCTTCTTTCCACAGAATGGAGTCGACTGACTGCATTGCTTCTTTAAACATTTTTGGTTCTTCTTCCAATACTAATTGGCACACAAACTGATCACACAGTTCGTTTAAATCTTTTAGTTCTGTGACATATGTTATGAAGTCAGAACCAAAATTCTTCTCTATCCTGGGTCTTTTGCTTCTTCAGGGCTCATCCAAATTGTTAGTAATGCGAGGAAAATTGGCATTATCATTTTGACACAGAGTATCAACTGGTGAGACATAAGCATTTTTTAAAGGAAAGATATGTTCAAAGAATATTGCATTTCTTGATTCACACATAGAACGGTTTTCTAGACACATAAACCTATATGCTGCACTATTCTCGGCATATCCAACAAAAATAGCATCAAAGGTTTTGGGTCCTATGTTGGACCTTTTCAGGGATGGTAGACTCACCTTAGCCAAGCATCCCCACACCTTAAAGTGTTTCAAGTTCGGGGCGTGCCCTTTCCACATCTCATAAGGGGTTTTTTCGAACCCTTTATGTGGGACTCTATTTAAAATGTGGTTCGCCGTTAGAACAGCTTCCCCCCCACATAGAGTCTGGTGCCCCAGAACTGATCAACATTGCGTTAATCATTTCATTAAGGGTTCTATTTTTCCTTTCAGCGATGCCATTTTGTTGGGGAGAGTATGGTGCAGTTACTTCATGGATTATACCCGAAGTTTCACATAAGGTTTTTAGCGATAAAGATTCATACTCTCCACCTCTGTCAGAACGAAGCCTCTTTATTTTCAAGTTTAACTGATTTTCTACCTCAGTTTTAAAAATCACAAATTTGTGTTCAGCTTCATCTTTTGTTCTCAAGAGGTATAGTTTTGTAAAATGAGAATAGTCATCTATAAAAGATAGCTCACACATGGTTTAGCTGTACGAGAAATGTGCTTACCACATAATTCATTAGGACATATGTTCACCACATAATCCATTTGGATAATTATGCTTAGTACATGAGTCATTACCACGTGGCTAAACCTTGCCTTTGGATGTTTTCCCAACAGAACACACAATCTTTATCTTTTTTGATTGGTTGGAGGATGACTCAACTCTTATCTTTACATTTTACTCCGTAGGCTACTGCCAATTTCGTGGAGTCAAAGGATTCTGAGAATTTCGTGTCCAAAAGGATCTTATTAACAATGAAGAACTTTAACAATTTCATGCTGGGTATTAATCTTCTGCTCTTCTTTCTCCGACCTGCAGAAACAGCAGCGTCGCCAACTGATGAACTGATCCAGCCTAATAAGTCCCAGAAACACTTTGTCCTAGTTCACGGCGCCTGTCATGGAGCCTGGTCGTGGTACAAGGTTGTCGCGATGCTTAGATCTTCAGGTCACAACGTCACGGCTCTGGATTTGGGTGCCTCCGGGATCAACCCTTTCCAAGCGCTGGAAATCCCACACATATCTGATTATTTCAAGCCATTGATGCTCTTCATGGCTGCTCTTCCTCCGACTCAGAGAGTCATTCTCGTGGGCCACAGCTTCGGTGGTTTCGCCATTTCTAAAGCAATGGAAACCTTCCCAGAAAAGATTTCTGTTGCAGTTTTTATCGCAGCCAACATGCCTGGCCCATCTCTCAACATTTCCACCCTCACTGCAGAGGTATGGTAGGTTTTGTATATTTTTATTTATTTATTTAATATAATCATGCATACATCTAATTGAAAATTATTTGGTTATGTAAAAGTTATTCAGGAGACAGGGTCCTCTCCTAGATAGCAGATATAGTTATGAAAGTGGTCCCAATAACACCATAATACTTGACCCCAAGTATATAGCAGAATACATGTATCAGCTCAGCCCAGTGGAGGTAAGACTATATATCTAATTATTAATTAATTACATTGTTTCAGAGACAAAAACTTAGTATCAGAACATTACATTGATTTTGGGTAAATTTATGAGTATAGGATTTGGCACTGGCAACCACATTACTCAGGCCCTTATATCTGTACAGTGTAGAGGATATCATAAAATTTATAAATTTGTCCCAGAAGAGGTATGGGTGTGTAGACAGAGTTTACATAAAAGCAGGTGAAGATAAGAGCTGGGGTAACAAAGATCGTGAGCAGATGATGATACGAATGAATCCTCCAAAGCAAGTGATAGAGATTGCAGAGAGTGACCACATGGTGATGATGTCTAGGCCTCGAGAGCTTTTCCTTCATCTTCTCTCCATTGCTCACACATCATTAATAATTGTGTGACGGGTTAGTGATCTATTTACTTTAAACATAATCTTAACACTGTCGCTATGGAATTTCGAACCTTGATCCCTTCCCCCAAATTAAATATCAGTATACATGGTGTGAAGATTCAATGTCATAGAATTAGGTTTGAGTGATACTAAGTTAGATGGTATATTTTATCTTAACTAAAAATGTAAAGTGATACCAAGACTATGTGGTCTGATGATACCCGGGTTGGACTTCTATTTGGAAGGTTGTGAGGTTGAGAAATAAAGTATATAAACAGATACTACATTGTAACAGAGCCAGTAGCATTCAAAAAATGTAAAGTGATAATTGGACTAAAAATTTATTATTATGTTTATATATTGTATATATATACTCTACCATTATCTGCAATTTATCACCCAACATTATCAAGGTATACTCATTAAGTACTTTTGGCATCTAAAAAACATTGTCCTACAACCCAAAGCTTAAAAGGAAAATTGTCCGAAATGACTTATTAACGTTGCATACTCAAGAAAAAATTGAAAGTTGTCAAAATTTGAATCCCAAGCCTAGAAAGATTAAAGTAAAACTAACACAAAAGAAAATGAAAATCTATCTTCTATCTTTACAATAATATATGAGAATGGAAAAAATGGATCATCAGAGCTCCGGCAGAACACGATGCTAACTGCCTCCACGAACACGATGACGAACTCTATGGCAAGTTTCACCACTTGTATGCATATCTCCAATCTCCCGATCATCATTTAGCTTCTTTAATTTATCAGTCAATATAATTCTGGTCGCCGGAGATTCTGGCAAGCGGTTGGTCTAACCAGAAGACACCTGAATTTATAGTCTTTGTTATCATTTCTGCTTCTTCTTCTTTTCTTGAATTTAATTAATTGTATAAAATCTAAAACGGGCTTTTGGATGTTCCCAAGGGTCATACCCCCCCCCCCCCCCTTTTTTTTTCTAATGTCTGAACCACTCTACTCAAACTAACAATGGATTATGCATGCTCAACTCCAAACTTTGGTTTGCGTAGAATCGGATTGATGTGGTCCGATATGTGTTGAATAAATGAAAACAAAAAAAATCATTGAACTACTTTGACATGTAGAAATGGATTGTGCACGCTCAATTCCAAACTTTTGGCTACATTCATTGTTAGTCAAAGTTTATTATGTAGAGGAAAATGAATTTTAAAAAATTATTAATCAAACACACAGAGGTAGACATAGCAAATAATGTGAGTAAAAAGGTAAATATACACATAGAAAAATGAGACTTAGAAATTTATAGTAGTTCAAGAATGGTACGTATAATTCCTCTATTTCATTCTTCTCCTTCTACCACGAGAAAATTCACAAGTAAACACAAACTAGTGTGTTGACCAGTGACCACAAAGTCAGCACTAATTAGTTTATAGGATTTCACAAAGCTTTACCAAGCTTATTACTACTTAGCCTCTATCTACACCATGTGTAGAGTTCTACTACAACATATCAACCCAAGTTTGATTACCCTCCAGCTGTGTGAGACTCTTGCAAAAGTTTATCTTGCTAGAAACTCTATGAGTCATCTCTTCTTGATGACTAAATGTTTGCTTTATAGAAGTTCGAATGCTTTTCGATATGCTAGATATTCTCTTATGTATCTTATGCTTTCTTTTAAAAAATATATATATATATATATATATATATATATATATATATATATATATATATATATATATATATATATATATATATATATATATCGCTTGATTTCAAATTTATCTGTTAGAGGGAAATAAATTTGAATCACCAACTTGCAAATAAAATATTTTCTCATGATTTGACAAGTGTATGTAAACTTTTGTCCAATTATATTGTTGTGTGTATTAGGACTCTATGTATTTGAGTTTGATTATATTATAATCCTCTATCCCAATTTCATTGAGACTTCCTTCCTATATATATATATTTGGAGAGCTTAGGTTGCTCCGTTTCTTGATAGTCATGATCTTCTTGGATTTGTTAATGGAACAAATCCATGTCCACCGGCCACCCTCCCCGTTCACTCTCGCCGGCCGACCTATGACACTTGAAGAACAAAACATGTACGTTCTTCGGGGGTTGCGACCAAAGTTCAGAGGGTTTGCGTCGTCTCTCAATGTGCGTGGCCAAACGGTCACAGTCTAGGAGCTTGTGGATTTCTTGGGCATAGAAGAATTTATGATGCACGGTGATCCCAGAACTACGCTACACATATACGGTGATTTTATCCACATCAGCAAGTTTGGACGAAATTCAAGCAATAAATGTCTTAATTGGAAAAGGAATTTTTAAAATCAATTATTGTATCCAATTATTACTTGTATTATATTTTTTTAATCTTCTCCCACTATATTTTTTTAATCATCATTGTAATTGGTACCTCAATAAATTATACAATCATCTTGAAGGGTCGGTTAATTACTATATAATAGTTAATATAAAAGCAAACAAAAGTTTATAATAATGCCAAGAAGTATCATGTCCACTGCCGGTAAAAAATCACGTTTTTATATGTTATTTTATTTTAATAATGTCATTTTTTAAAAAATATAGTAATATATAAAAATACTTACATTTTACAACTTTCTATAAAATCAAGAGTAATGTTACTTTACCCGCATGGGCAGCTCAACTAGTCATAGAGGTGAAAAATTGGAAGAATGACTAAAGATCGAGTCTCATCACAGTGTGAGAACTACCTCAAGTGAGGGGGCTCCTTATGTGCAGTAAACAAAGGTCTAGCCTTGACATGCTCTTTGCCGGGTGGGGTTCTTCCTTTTGGAAGAAGAGTAATGTAGAGGGGGCTCCTTGTGCGCAAACAAAGGTCTAGTCTTGAGTTACCATGATTTCAGGGCCGTCCCTGGGCAAGTCTGCCCAGGGCTGGCGTACAGGGCCCCCAAATTTTGGGAGCCCCATATTTAAAAAAAAAAAAAAGTATATTATATATATTGGCATTAGGCAGCTGCGGCATTCACAAACCATCAAACACTCAAACCCTACGGCTCTACCCTAAATCCCTATCCCTAATCTAGATTCTAGCGCCTTACTGTAGACAAAGACGAGTGACAGAAGAACTAGAGAGACTACAACAATTTCAATAATTCAATTTGCCTAAGTAATTGAAATTGAAGTCATTTAAATATTTAATTTTACTTATTTGCGTTATTGAGGCTGCTGTAGTGCTTTAATCTTAATTGTTTCTTCATCTCAATTGTATTTTTAAATCTTAATTCTTTGTTGTTTGGTTGTTTGTATTTTTTTTGATGTAGTAATTAAAATATTCAATTTGGTTGTTTATTTGTATTCTTTGTTGTTTGACGTCTCTTAGGCAACTCAATTTAGTGAATTGATACAAAGACGACAGACTCAGCTCGTGTGCTACTGATTCTTCAATTCTTTTTTTTTTTTTTTTTTTATCATACAAACTCTCAAGTTATTCAATTTTCATGACATGTAATATAATTAAAATTACGTATTGTTGCATTCAAAAAAAATTACGTATTGTTTTATAATTCTTGTTTATTGTTTTATTTACATCGTTACGCGACTTAGTAATTCTGATTTCAGAATAATATATTCAAAGAATTCGTTTCTTGATTAATTATTTATTGATAGTGTTTCTAAATAAATTTTTATTTTTTCTTTTGGATTTTATGTCTTCTTGAAAATATTCATCTGGGTTTGTGAAGTGTAAAAAGAAAAGAATAATTGAGCAACTAACTCAATCTCAAAAGGGAGCTCTTGAAAAATTCAAGACAAAAAAAACTCAACTATTAGATGATAATTTTCCTATAGAAGATCAAGATGATTGTGAAATTGGAACAAATTTAAATATTATAGTGTGCACAACGATGATAGTTATCACTGTGGCAATGAAAATAATAAGAATGTTGATAGTTGTTTAGATGATGTTGGTCATAGTTATAAATCAAATGATTCACTTTTATTTGACCTATATGATCCAAGAAATTGGGATGCTCTTATTCTACATTAATAGATATTCTTGTGAAAGATGGTCCTAAAAGAGATTTATCAATAAATAAAGGTCCTAAAGATGGTTTAAGTGTGCACGGCGCATGTCAATTTTTAAATGAAATTTTAGATGTATTTTTTATACAATATTTATGTTTTGAATTTTTGACACAACTTTTTGTACAACTATTATTTATATATAGAAATTTCTTGAAAAAAGGGGTCCAAATTAAAATATTGCATAGGACCCCACTTTTTATTGGAACGACCCTGCATGATTTACATGCTCTTTGTCGGGTGGGGTTCTTCCTTTTGAAAGAAGAGTAATGTTACCTTAGTCAATCTTACAAAGTCAGTACATTTCTCTTCTCTAGCCACTACATTTCTACTATTACATGATGTGACAATTGCCACATTAAAAAAAATGCTAGTCATATAAAAACAAATAATAAAATGTAGTGTTCTCATCATTGATATAGTGGATGAAAGGTCTCACTTAAGACTTATGTTTAACAATAATAGCAGGCACGTAATGAATTTTGAGGTAATAGGAATGTTATTCCATAAGGAATATAATAGGGATGGAATATAATAGGAATTATATTCTACTGTTTGATTCGCAGAAGGAATAGACTTTAGGAATTATATTACTTTTGGTTGGTTTAAGGAATAAAAATGAAATATGTTTTAAAAGACATAAATACCCTTATAAAAATATGTGGTGGTGGTGGTAGTGGTAGTGGTGGCGACGGTGGTGGTGGCGGTAGCGGTGGTGGTGGTGGCGGCGGTGGCGGTGGTGACAGTAGTAGCGGTGGCGGTGGCGGTAGCGGCTGTGACGGCGATGGTGGTGGTGGTAGCGATGGCGGTGGCAGTGGTGGTGACGGTGGTGCATGGTGAAATAGAAAATAAATTTAATTGGGGGTAAAATATAAAATAGCAACTTTAGGTAGTGTTTGGTTGACAATTCGTTAAAACATAACTATAAGATTTGATTACCCCTTTAATTAAAAACTTCATTCCGTAATAAAAAGGTATCATTCTATGTTATTAGTAATATGATTTTTAGATTAGTGTTTTTAGATTTTTTTTTTTTGTTCATATTGGCGCTTTGAATGTTATTATTTATTTATTTATATTATGATCAATTGCCTTGACTTTTTATTTTGTATTTTAAAATTCTTTATTCTCATTATAGGGTAATACATAACCAAACATCAATATGTGTAATTATTCCAATTCAATCATACTACCAAACCTGCAAAATACTTTCACTAAAACTCTTATCATTACCAAGTATTTGATTTATATTCTGACTCCAATTTCATGTGCGAACCAAACACACCCTAAGATTTATATTTTAAAAATTTCCAACAAAAATGATATAATTGAATCCAAGTTATTGCTATATATATGTGCATGATTAATTAGAACACACAATCTTAACTTCTTCCCAAACTGTGTGTGGGAAGAACACACAATCTTATCTTCTTCCCAAACTGTGTGGGAAGAACACACAATCTTTATCTTTTTTGATTGGTTGGAGGATGACTCAACTCTTATATTCAGTCCGATTCATTACTAGCCTACGACATAAAAGAACAAACAACCTTATCTTTACATTTTACTCCGTAGGCTGCTGCCTGCTCACATCTCCAATCCTCTGTGGAGTCAAAGGATTTTGAGAATTTCGTGTCCAAAAGGATCTTATTAACAATGAAGAACTTTAACAATTTGATGCTGGGTATTAATCTTCTGCTCTTCTTTCTCCGATCTGCAGAAACAGCAGCGTCGCCAACTGATGAACTCATCCAGCCTAATAATAAGTCCCAGAAACACTTTGTCCTAGTTCACGGCGCCTGTCATGGAGCCTGGTCGTGGTACAAGGTTATCGCGATGCTTAGATCTTCAGGTCACAACGTCACGGCTCTGGATTTGGGTGCCTCCGGGATCAACCCTTTCCAAGCGCAGGAAATCCCACACCTATCTGATTATTTCAAGCCATTGATGCTCTTCATGGCTGCTCTTCCTCCGACTCAGAGAGTCATTCTCGTGGCTCACAGCTTCGGTGGTTTCGCCATTTCTAAAGCAATGGAAACCTTCCCAGAAAAGATTTCTGTTGCAGTTTTTGTAGCAGCCAGCATGCCTGGCCCTCTCCCATTCCTCAACATTTCCCCCCTCATTGCAGAGGTATGGTAGGTTTTGTTATTATTTATTTATTTATTAATTTTTGAGTCACACTTGTATTAGACCGGCTCATGGATAAGGTAATCTGTTGGTTGGCCAACCAGTAACGGAGCCAGGATTTTCAATGGGTGGAGATAAAAAAGCAAAGGTAAAATGCATTAAAAAATATTGAAATACAAAATATCAAATATGAATAAAATTGTTAAACAACTAGGCCAACTTTCGTCCTTAATAATTAACATAAGCTGGAATGCATAAGCAGTGAACTGCTGACCTTTCATATTATAAGAAAATAATGTCCTGTTTAAATCTTTGTATATTTAATATATATACAATTTATATGGGGTAGGACCAATGTTTCAAAAATCCTGCCTAGGCACCGATTAATCGGCGCCTAGCGTATCACTATAATCGGTGGTCTAAGCGCCTAGCTGGCTAGGCGACTGACTAGGCCGCCTAAGTGCCGTTTAGGCCGCTTAGGCACTGACCACCTAGGCCTCCTAGGCCACCTTGTCGGCCAATTAACTATTGGTCCATTCTTTTTTAAATGAGTTATTTCATTCAAAACAACATCGTTTTGAGCGAAATAACCATAAATTGTTCAAACTTTAAATGTTTTGTAGGTTAATATTTAATATTTTAGTATTAACTATTAAAGTATTAAATAGTTTATAATTATCAAGTCTTAAAAAATTTAAAAATTTTAAAAATAAATATTACACTGGTACCTAGGCACCGATTAATCTTCGCCTAGGCGCTAGGCGCTCCCCGAGCGTCCGATGGGCGCCTAGCGATTTTTTCAATCATGAGCAAAGCAGTAGGGGCAGTTGCCCTGGCCAACACTATTATAAAACAATATGAAATGTGTTAGAACGACTAAGAAGCAGTATTATTACAAGAGAATCAAATTTTAAACCCCTTACTTTGTAATACCTTGGGTATTTATACATGCTTAATTGACAGGAAAGGAAAGGAAGGAAATTAACAAATGAGTTAATACTCAAAATGGTCCCTCGACTATGCCATAATTACCAATTTGGTCCTCAACTACCATTCTTACCCAATTAAGTCCTCAACTATGTAACTTTTACTCAATTAAGTCCTCAACTATACAATTCTTACCCAATTTAGTCCCCAACTATACAATTCTTACCCAATTTAGTCTTCTGTATTAATTTGATTGTTTGTTGACTGTCAAAAGTCGGGATAAAATTATAATTTTACAAGATTTCTCCTTCCTCTCCATTTAGCAGCGCCAAACCATGCAGCAATACACTCCGATCAGATTTCGATCGTCAAAAAATCGTTGGAAATCAAATTCATGGGCTATCCGATGCATAACCACTACTTCGATACTGACAGGTTTAGAACCCAACCGGAGCTTATTGCTACATGGTTTGGCGCTGCTAAATGAGGAGGAAAGAGAAAACTTGTAAAATTACAACTTTATTTCTACTTTTGACAGTCAACAAACAGTCAAATTGACAAAGGACTAAATTGGGTAAAAATTATATAGTTGAGGACTTAATTGGGTAAGAATGATAGTCGAGGACCAAATTGGTAATTACGACATAGTCGAGGGACTATTTTGGGTATTAACTCTTAACAAATTTAGGCTTAGGAAACCCAATCGTTATGCGTTGGATCCGTGTCCAGCATGCTTGCTGGACACGGGTAACAGTGCCGTTAGGCACTGTTATCTCCTTCTTCTTCTTCTTTTTTTTTTTTTTTTTTTTTTTTTTTTTTTTAAATTTCAGACCGCTTCATAGGAGTATATGTTCATAATTTTATTACTATATTATTAATAACTGTACATTCATAACTCCATAACTGTACGTTCATAACTCCATAACTGTACATTCATAACTCCATAACTGTACATTCATAATTTTCGAAGCTCTATGTTCACAATTTTAGAGCTCTATGTTCATAATTTTATCACTATATGTTCATAATTGTAAGTTCATAATGTTAGAGCTCTTTGTTCATAATTCGATCAATAACTGTACATTCATAATTCCATAACTGTAGATTCATAATCTCATAACTGTAGATTAATAACTCCATAACTGTAGATTCATAACTCCATAACTGTACATTCATAACTCCATAACTGTACATTCATAATCTTCGAAGCTCTATATTCACAATTTTAAGTTCCATAGTCATAATTTTATCACTATATATGTTCATAATTGTAAGTTCATAATGTTAGAGCTCTGTGTTCATAATTTCATAATTGCATAACTATACATTCATAACGGCATAACTGTACATTCATAACGGCATAACTGTACATTCATAATCCAAAAATAATAATAATAATAACGCCGTTAACGGCAAAACGCGCGCGATTTTTTTTTTTTTTTTTTAACTAAATGACGCGTTTTTTTTTAAAAACGACGTCGTTTTGGGCCTGTGTCCACAATTCACTGTGGACACGGGTCCAGGGCATAATTTGCCTAGGAAACCTCCTTATTCTGATTTGGTCTTAATACCTTCTTCCAAATTTTCACCTCTATGACCAGTTGAGCTACCCATGCGGGCATTTGGTCTTAATTCCTAATTTTATTTTTGGTAGAGAAAGAGAGGCTAAGCCTCGAAATTATCTAATTCTACGGATGAGGGCGCTGCCCGCATATTGCTCAATTAAAGTATCCAAGCCATCCGGGATGTCAGCCACCAAATTTTAAATACCGGCGAAGGAGAAGGCGACCTCCTTCGTTGGAAAAATTGGTGACCGGTGTCGCCGACCACCAAATTTAAAAAAAAAAAAAAAAAAGAAAAAAAAAACACAAATGCAAGTCTCACTTGCATTTGTGTTTGATCAATTCTGACATCAAACGCATCTCTCAAATGTCTTTTTCATATCTTTGTCCAATTTTCAGCAACGTCATAATTTTGGAAATATATATTTGTTTGTTCATATTTCAGTCATTTTTCCAACTGAAATATGTGTGTGGTAGTCTCTACTAAAAGATTAAGTTAATAATTATACTTTTAATTTGTATATATTATACTTAGTTGTATTGGGTACTTTTAATGCTGATAATTTTTTTATTTTTATTTTTGAAATAATGCTGATAATATCTATTACGTACTACCAAACAAAAAATAGTATACTGTATACATACAATTGTATTTGATACTCTGTGCAATTTAAAAAATGTCATTAATATAATCATATATACACATCTAATGGCAAATATTTTTGGTTATGTAAAAGGCATTCAGGAGACAGGGTCCTCTCCTAGATAGCAGATATAGTTATGACAATGGTCTCAATAACACCCTAATGTTTGACTCCAAGTATATAGCAGAATACATGTATCAGCTCAGCCCAGTGGAGGTAAGACTATATATCTAATTATTAATTAATTACATTGTTCCACAGACAAAAACTTAGTATCAGAACATTACATTGATTTTGGGTAAATTTATGAGCATAGGATTTGGCACTGGCAACCACATTACTGAGGCCCTTATATCTGTTCAGTTTAGTGGATTTCATAAAAGAGATGATTTTGTCCCATAAGAAGTATGGGTCTGTAGACAGAGTTTACATAAAAGCAGGTGAAGATAAGAGCTGGCATATCAAAGGTCTTGAGCAGGTGATGATACTAATCAATCCTCCCAAGCAAGTGATAGAGATTGCAGGGAGTGATCACATGGTGATGATGTCTAGGCCTCGAGAGCTTTTCCTTCATCTTCTCTCCATTGCTCAAACATCATTAATAATTGTGTGACGGGTTAGTGATCTGTCTACTTTAAACATAATCTCAACACTGTCGCTATGGAGTTTTGGACCTTGATCCCTTCCCCAAATTAATACTGTCTACTGAACCAGTGAACTAAGTGTTGAATAAATACAGTCAATATTTCTTGTGGTAATTTTATATTATGTCCTATTCTTATGGAATTCGTTTAGACTTGTTAGTGGGTAGAGTGTTCATGAGATCGAGCCTTTGACTTTGTGTGCTTCAATAATAGAGTCAGTAGCATTTAAAAAAAAAAAATAACAATATTGTAAATGTACTTTATACTTAATTAGTGATGGGGGTTTTTCCACTTAGTTATCAAGCTATGCTCAGTAAACTTTCTGTTTGGATCCTGTGGTTTCCTGGCCTCCCTCCATCCTAGCTCAGCTTGCAAGAAATTCTTTGCCTTTGATCTCTCAGGATTTCAATGGAGAAGAAGTTGTTTGATTCCAGTGCTTATTATTTCTGGCCTGCCACAAACTCCAACAAATTAAACCATCATAATTTCTCCGCCATATATATATATATATATATATATATATATGCATCAGAAAGCTAAGTTTAACTCCAGCCAATGTTGAAAGGATATGATGTCACATTCACCACACTAACTCCTCCCACAGAATCCCAGGGAAGACTTGTGAGATCACCAAGGCCTTGTAGCCATCTCGCAGAAAGCCAAGTTGCATGTCGCGAATTGTGTCTCAAGAGCCTCTCTTTCAACTTGAACATCCATCATGGCTTCTTTTAGTTCCATAAGCTTTTTCTCAACAGATTCTATTTCTCTGTTCAAATCATTTTCTTCAGTTATGATTTCAGAATGCCTACTTGCTTCATGGGAACCTTGAAATTCAATTGCACGACTTGAAAGTTTGCTTAGTCGCTCTTGCAGAAAACCAACGTCCATACCCAAGTGCATAAAGCCTGATAATGTGGTGTCCCAACTCTTGAAATCAGTCAGAGGTGTGGAAAGAGTACAAGCTTTGATATTGTCAGCTATGCTAACTGTTTCCAAAATGATCCCAACAGCCAACGTATAGTTAATGTTCTCAGCAAATCCATCATGTAGATATGATTTCTGAGCACAACACAGCTCATAGTATTTCAGACGTGCTGAGATGGAGAATTTTGAGTCCACAGGGCACCCATTTACAACAATGCTGAAATTTTTCAAGTCCACAAAAAATTCCGTGGAACTGTCATCCTCAGTTTCTGCAGGGGAATCCTCGTTATCATTCTCAAAAATAAACCCTTCATCCCCTAACTCGTAATCCGTTTCTGGCTGGCCATCATTTTGACAATTTTCTTCAAGATATGGTGTCTGGACTGTCTGCTCTACCACAGTTTTCATTTTTTGGCATACATTAACATCCTTTGCTGCAGTCTCTGAATTTCAATGGCATGACCATATTCAAGAACAAAAAGATGACATAGCTGGTGTAAACCAAAGAATTATATACTGGAAAAAAAAAAAAAACACTCTGAAGTACCTAATTGTCTTTCATGCATATGATCCGAATTGTTGGCTCTCACTGTGTAGACCTGGGGAAATGCTTACATTATAAGTTGATAAAGTTGGGAGATTTTTATACATTACAAGAACTAGAAATCTTCCCACAAACCCCACCCTGCTGATGGAAGGCATGTATTTTAATTGGCATCAGTTTGATGATAAAAAATGAGGTTCAAGAAAGCGAAAAGATTAGGAAGGAACTAATAAGGCTACTACAAATGTAATCCTAGTTAATCGTTCCTCAACCCACAGTAGTTTAACTCATTTTAAATTTTTTTTTTTTTTAAAGGAGATCAGCAAATTAGTACCAGATAATTACAGAAAATGCAATGAGTCAGTCATGAAAATCAAAAGCTATCTTCACTTTTAAAATTGGTCACAAAGTAAAAATGAGCCGTTACTTGAAGGAAAAATTATTGTCTTCATTTGGATAGACCAAAAATAAAACACAGGGCACAAAGCATTCAGTTGCCAGACCAAAGATTTATGAGAACATTGTAAGTAACAGCAGAATGAAAATGGCACTAATGTGATGTTTTCATTGTCACTATGTTTGTCCACAAACAGATGAGTTAGATATTTTAAAGTGCAAATAAAAGTTTAGGAGGGGGATAGACTGGAAAACAGATATTCTTAAAATAGTGTTGAAATATATAGTTTACCTTGAATTTGTATTGCTGTACCAAGTGAAAGACAACTGCATCACCTTCTTGCAAGTTATGGGCAAGGGAGAATCCTCTCCATCCACCACAAAGTCGTTGCCTTTCTGCTATGAATTTGGTCTCATACTGCTTCTCATTGTCACCCTCCAATTGTATTGTATGATCATGAGGGGGTAAGTACATTTTACAGAAATCCGGTGGAAGGCCCTGTAGCAGAGGAACTTTGAGGTTGAATTCTGATAAATCTATTTTTTTTTTATAATAATAATACTGCACTTACCACCCAAAATCCAAGTGTAGCATAGGTACGGCTCAGGAATTTAATGAAGCTTGGTTGGGTTGGGTCAAGACTGGCTTGAAGGGCCTTTGCTTTCTGCATGGTAAGTGAAGAATAAGCTGCAGATTTCTTACAGCTTTCTTTTATCATTACCCCTGCTGGTTTCCTGCGTTACAAATAACGAAAGTTAGGATCAAATAGTAAAGAAATCTCTAAATTCTCACAGTTATTAGTTCAAGTATTCACTAACCTATTGGTGGCTGAGACTTCACCGTTCAGAGGAGTTCCCTGCAAAAAGAAATGAAATGAAAACCGTTTCTTAATCACCATCCTTGCGAGCAAAATTCTTATTTACTAGTTCTTGGGCTTGGCAGGTAACCAGATACGAAAAAGAAGAGATTTCCCCCTTTTTTTCCAACAAGACCTAGGGTACTGGGAAGAAATCCCAGTTCCATTTGAATATACACATTAAAATTTCAGAACAAATAAAGGTGGCAACTTTGTGAATATAACTTGAAATGGAAAATGTATCTCCAAGGAGCTAAGAAAGATGCAGTGTAAGAATAAAATAAAAAGAAGAATAACCTAAGAAACACACTGAGTACTGACCATAGAGGGAGAAACAGAGGAGCTTGATTTGTTCATGAAGCACTGATACAGGGAGAAATACACTGGTCTATTCCTTCTTTTCTTCTTCTTCTTCTTGGTGTTCTAGATTTTTCTCCGGCTTCTTCACTTCTTTGATCAATGGTTCTTCGGAATTCTGCTCGATCTTACTCACGTATTCACTCGGTTACAGACATCAATATTTTTCTATGTGTAATTATCAACGGCTATAACAGATGCTTTGTTGGAGCAGACGGGCAGTGTGATTTTCTATTTTTGTAAAAAGTGTTTAGTGTGTACAACACTACAACTGTACAATGTATTGCCATATTGGACTAAGATTTTTTTTTTTTAAAAAAAAAAACGGATTGCCTTACTAGTGACTACTTCACTTTTTTTTTTTTTTTTTAATTTCTTCAAATTTAATTTTTGAAAGAATTATATAATTACAAATTTAATACATTAATGCTAAATATTTATGTAACAAACATTAAACAAAAATTACAATAAATATATAATTTATTAACTGAATGTACATAATATATACAAAAATAATCGACCATACACATGATGAATTTTGGTCCACAACATAATAATTGCAATAAAATAAAGATATATAATTAAAGTTTTATTCTCCAATATTTCATATATCTTATGAAAAGGATTGACTACATTATGTCATTTCGTTATTATTTGTTGGGGGATTTGGGAGGCTCGTTTTCGAGGGATGTTGTGAGGTTTTCTCTGGCTTATTTGCGTGAACGCTAGCAGCGTCCTATGGCTGGTTTATTGAAAGTTAATGTGGACGCTGCTGTGCGGGGAGAGGTGAATATGGTAGGGGGTAGGTTGGGTGGTTCGTGATTATAACAACTCCTTTATAGCTGCAGGTGCAATTGCGAAGGAAGGTGCGTGTTTGCCTCGTGAAGATGAAGCATTGATAGTCCGGGAGGCCCTTAGTTGGTTGAAGGATAAACATTATGATGATTTTGTGCTTGAAACGAATGCTAATCAACTGGTTGATAGTCTTTATAAGGATAACATCACCCCTTATGGTCTGCTTCTTCAGGATATTAACTTTCTTTATCTTTATTTGCACATGTCAATTTATGTTTTGTAAAGCGATCGACAAATGTTGTTGTTCACCTTTTGGCTCGAGATGCTACTTTTAGTTCTGGTAGTCGGTTTTGGTGTGATACCAACCCCTCGTTTATTTCTAGTGCCTTATGTAACGTCTTGATGATTATATACAAGTTTGTTTTGTTTGGTTTTCTAAAAAAAAAAAAAAAAAAAAAAAAAAAAAAACATTATGAGTAACATCAAATTGAAAAGGACACCAATATTGGCTTCTTACAGAGTAAAGTTAGTTTGAGCATTTTCAATAGGAATTTTTATATGGTTTTTTTTCAAATTCAAAAATTAACATGAGTATTTCGACAAATGGAGGGTGAAGTTTTTTCATGATTTTTATTTGTGCAAATACAATTCTTTTGTGGGGTCCATTAAATATGAATAAAAGCAAAACAGACTTTATAGGTGTCAAAATTATTTTTTCGACTGGTTCAGGCACGCTTACTCTCTCAGATTTTCGACTTTGCACAACTCAGATAGTGTATGTGTGTGTGTGTGTGGGGGGGGGGGGGGGAGGGGTGGCGGGCGACTGATGATGGAGATATTGGAAATCGCCCAAAAATAGGGACTTGAGGTCCAAGAGCCCAGAGCCCGAGGCCCGAGAAGAAGGCCGGCGACCCAAGATAGAAGACCCACGCCTAGCAAAAGGGGCTCGGGGGCCTAAGACAAAGGAGCTAAATGAGGCTACTCGAGCAGGGTGGATGGGTTCGAGAGAGAGAGACCTGGGGCTCGGTCATCGTTCTGGCTCGGAACCTGTCTCCCGGGCCGGAGTGGCCAGATTTAACCCAGTTTTGCGGCCCATCATGAAATTAGTTAAATTAGTTGGAATCTTCTTTGAATAAATTATCATTGTATAGTTATTACAAATTATGTTCTATTCCTAGAAAATCCTGTAGTATTCTTACTTTAATACACTCAATATTTTTACTACAATTATCGCTTTTACTATTTTACCCCTTTAATTTATGCGAGCTTAGTTGGTCCATACAAGGGTAACGCACCCATAAAAACCACCCTTAATGTGAAAACGTGATAACTAATCTAAACTATTAAATCAGAATGATGCACGAATGTGATTAACATGAATGAATCACATGGATTAAGGAAACAAATTCCTTTAAAATATTAAAAAAAGAGTTAATACCCAAAATCGTCCTCGACTATAGTGGTTTTTCTCAATTTCGTCCTAAACGACTTTGGTGACCTAATATCGTCCTACACTTTTGTGTTTCGCTCAATTTAGTCCCAGACTTTTGTATTTTTGCTCAATTTAGTCCCTCATTTGTTATTTTGTCCATTTGGTGTTAAATAAATAGACAATTCAGTAATTTTAATATTGGCATCTCTTTACTCATAGACATGTGAACTGCGAAATCCCCTTTTTTTTACGAATTACTTCCAGAATTACTCCTAAAACTGCGAATATAAAATTTGATTCGCAGGTCCGGGAGTAATTCTGGGTATAATTCGTACAAGAAAGAGGAATTTCACACTTCACAAGTTGAAAGTAAAGAGAGATCAATATTGACATTACTGAATTGTCCCTTTATTTAACACCAATTTGACGGAATAACAAATGGAGGACTAAATTGAGCGAAACACAAAGGTCACCAAAGTCTGGGAGAAAAACCACTATAGTCGAGGACGATTTTGGGTATTAACTCATTAAAAAAATATAGATCTAAATCAGTCATATTATAAGCTGTACATTTCTATACATAATGTTGTGCATTCCTATACTGAATGTCATGCATCGATAACTCTCTGGTTGTGCACTTAAACACGGCCAAAAAATCCTACGATCCATCGCGCTAAGAGCACTAATGCACATCTCACCAGCCTACGATGCACAACTTACAACACTGAGTTGCACAACCAGCACACCCGAATGCATAACTGTACTACCGAGACGTGTATATATACACCAACATCCAAATATAGTCAATATTATACTTAAAAAAAAAAAAAAAAAACGAGCAAAAGAATACAAAACACTGGTCGATTTTCATGAACGAACACTCAATCAATGATGAAGAAGTCACGACTCTAAATCGCAACGGTGATAATTCAAAAAAATAAGAAACAAATTTGGCCAAAGATTACACATGTGCTCATAAACCTTCTGTTTGGATCCTGTGGTTTCCTGGCCTCCCGCCATCCTAGCTTAGCTTGCAAGAAATTCTTTGCCTCTGATCTCTCAGGATTTAAAATGGAGAAGAAGTTGTTTGATTCCATACCTTATTATTTCTGGCCTGCCACAAATTCCAACAAATTAAACCATCATAATTTCACAGAAAGTTTAACTCCAGCCAATGTTGAAAGGATATGATGTCACATTCACCACACAATCCCTTAATTGCCATTTTACACCACACAAAAACATGAAGCAAAAGTTTCATTCTCCCTGCTAGCTACACAGATGAGATGGAGATATATATATATGTTAAACGCCCACATTTTGGTCCACCAAAATTCTTCAGTCCCCTGAAACTCTCCTGTAGCAACTCTTTACAGACTAATCCCCCTTTTCCTCCTCATTCCAGATAAGTCTGAAATAGGGATTTTCATGATCAGATCACAATCTCTTTGATTAAACAGATCTACCAAGATTTCAGTATCCCAGTAAACCAGCCTCAAATAACCACATTTAAAGACTACATTAGTCTATGTTGTTCAATTTGGTGATGGAAGTATAAAACAGTGCTGCCATATCAAATTATCACTCAAAAATCAAAATACATAATTGTAATTATAGATTAACCATTAGCACAAAATTCATACAGTACCAAAGTTCCATCCAGATTTGGACCAGGAAATGTAGTAATGAGCTTCTAAGTCTTCTACTAACCTGGCTAATCACTACATAGCTAAAACAAACACTGAAACAGAAGCTTCCTGCCTGCATCTTACATTCTTTTTCTTCTAGACTAGAAATGGATCAGAGGATGCCCAATACATTATGTACACAACTAAGTCATATAATATAAAGGTAAGGCATCAAACAGATTAGACGGAAGACTTGTGAGATCACCAAGGACTTTTAGCCATCCCGCAGAAAATCATGTTGCATATCAGGAATTGTGTCTCAAGAGCTTCTTTTTCAACTTGAACATCCATCATGGCTTCTTTTAGTTCCATAAGCTTCTTCTCAACAGATTCAATTTCTTTGTTCAAATTATTTTCTTCAGTTATGATTTCACAAAGCCTACTTGCTTCATGGGAACCTTGAAATTCAATTGCACGAGTTGAAAGTTTGCTTAGTCGCTCTTGCAGAAAACCAACGTCCATACCCAATTGCTTAAAGCCGGATAATGTGCTGTCCCAACTCTTGAAATCAGCCAGAGGTGTGGAAAGGGTACAAGCTTTGATATTGTCAGCTATGCTAACTGTTTCCAAGATGATCCCAACAGCCAACGTATAGTTAATGTTCTCAGCAAATCCATCATGTAGATATGATTTCTGAGCACAACACAGCTCATAGTATTTCACACGTGCTGAGATGGAGAATTTCGAGTCCACTGGGCACCCATTTACAACAATGCTGAAATTTTTCAAGTCCACAAACGATCCGGTGGAACTGCCAACAATAGTTTCTGCAGGGGAACCCTTCTTATCATTCTCAAAAATGAACCCTTCATCCCCTAACTCATAATTCGTTTCTGGTTGGCCATCATTTTGACAATTTTCTTCAAGATATGGTCTTTCATGCATATGATCCGAATTGTTTGCTCTCACTGTGTAAACCTGGGGAAATGCTTACATTGTAAGTTGATAAAGTTGGGAGCTTTTCTACATTACAAGAACTAGAAATCTTTCCACAAACCCAGGGCATGAATTTTAATTGGCATCAGTTTGAAAATAAAAAATGAGGTTCAAGAAAGCGAAAAGATTAGGAAGGAACTAATAAGGTATTAAGGCTACTGCAAATGTACTACTAGTTA